GCGTTCAACCGTAGTAGTCTACCGTAGCGGTCTTATCTTAAACTCTCTAATAACTGCTATACCGCACCTTGACATTTTTTTCAATTTTTTTGAAAAGCAAGATTTTCACCTAGTGACCCTTCTCAGTAGCGTAAGATATTGCAAAAATAAACAGAAAAAGCCACTTCATATTTAGAGTTAAAGTCTTCTTGATATTTACCACTGGAATAAAAGTACCTTGTCAATTTCCAGGCGTGAGAGCGCTTGCCTCTAATTGGTAGGATAAGCTCTTTATCAGATTCCAGAACATATGCAGATTTCATTTGAGAATAAAGAAAGGAAGGAATTCATAGAGAAGAAAATGAAGTTGAAGTTGAGCTCAAACATAAAACGAGAAATTCATAAGAGGATAAAATGCAGATACGTTAGCCTACTTATTTTAAAAACAGGTATAGAAATTTGAGAAAAAAATCTCTTACGTACATTAATAGATCGATGTTATATATTGTGACTAATTGGTTAGTATAGCTTTTTGATATTTTTCGTGTCAAACTCCCAAATCTTTAGATTTAGCGGAGTTTTAGAAAATCCAGCTGTCTATGCAAAGAATGCAGGTTTTGTAAAAGCAGAGTCTGTACAAATGGAGTATTTCATGTGCATTACGCTCTCCATGCACAAGCAATGCGTATGTAAACAAAAGAGATAGTTTGCATAATTAAGATTATATGCTTGCCGTTCTAGAGTTCTAGAAATTATTTATAATTTTTGATGTGGATAGCTTTAGTTTACGAGAATTTCATGTAAACGCGAAAATAGGTAAGAAAGGATGCAGCTCCCTTGCGACAGAAGTGGAGTGCCCGCGAATTTTAGTTTCCTGTGAAGTGTGTGGTCTTATATAACTAAGGCTACTACCTTGGTTTTGACCTATTTGAACATTGGCTGTTTTACACTTCTGAAACTAAGGCCAAAGTATTCTCTATTCAAAAACAATTTTCGCTCAGTAAATTTAGTCAAAATAAAAAACATACTTTATCTTGCGGCCCAAGGGCATGAAAATATTCCTTCAAAGTTT